TAAGTTTAAAGATCAAGATTTTTTTTTTTTATCCTCACCCGAGGACATTTTTCCATTTTTGTTCGGAGAGAGAGAGGAAGAGAGAGATAGAGAAACATCAACGTGAAAGGGACACATCGAGTGGCTGCCACCTGCACAACCAACCAGGGCCGGGGACAAACTGCAACCGAGGTACGCACCCTTATGGGAACCGAACCTGGGTCTCTCTGGACTGTAGGCCGACGCTCTAACTGCTGAGCCAAACCGGCCAGGGCAAGATCAAGATCAAGGTATTTTAATAGAAATGTTATAAATAAATATAAATCAGAGACTGCGTGTAGACTGTTTATGCTGGTGCTATAAAGGCAGAAATTCTGTATGTTAAAATGTAAAGCCATATAAGTATTGGTGCCAAAGTTAGTCGCTTTTTAAAAAAAGTTATTTTCTTTATTGACTTTAGAGAGAGGAAAGGAGGAGAGATAGAAACATCGATGAGAGAGAACATCGACTGGCCGCCTCCTGCATGCTCTTTACTGGGGATCAGGCCCACAACCTGGGCATGTGCCCTGACCGAGAATTAAACTCACGACCTCTTGGTGCACGGGTCGACACTCAACAACCTAGCCACACCAGCTGGGCAAAGTTAGTCTTTCTTTTTAAAATCCTCTCCCAATATTTTTCCATTTATCTTCAGAGTGGGGGGAAGGGAGAGAAAGAGACACATCGATGTGAGAGGGACACATTGATTGGTTGCCTCCTGCACGACCCCAACCAGGGTTGGGGATGAACTGCAACTGTGGTATGTGCCCTTGGTCAGAATCGAACCTGTGACTCTTTGGTCTGCAGGCTGATGTTCTAACCACTGAGCAAACCCGGCCAGGGCAAAGTTAGTAATTTTTTAATGACAAATATTTCATGTGGCAGACTTACTGGTTTAGTGCAATGAGTCCTCTGGATTGATAATTTTGCATCTCCTTTTCACCAGGTTTCTTAGTCTTTATTAATTTGTATTGTATAAAATACGGGGCGCTGGCACTTCAAGAAATATTTGATGGAATACAACCAAAGTGAGTTTGTTTTTATTATTCATTACATTTTACTTTTAAGTTTATTAATTTTAGAGAAAGAAGCATTGATTTGTTGTTCCACTTATCCATGCATTCATTGGTTGATTCTTTATATGTGCCCTCACCAGGGATCAAACCCACAACCTTGGTGTATTGGGATGATTCTCTATAACCAACTGAGCTGCTTGGCCAGGGCTATATTTTATATTTAAAAACAAAAAACTGGACTTTTCCAAAGCATATCTATTTCTTCATAGTTCTCGGTGCAGTGACAGTGTTTTTCAAAATATTTTGAGGGTATTGGGTCATAAAGTAGAAAATCCCTGTAAGTATTTCCCTAATTCCCAGTCACTCCCCCTCTGGCATTCTCCACGGCCAGTGTTCTGTGTGAGGCCGTGTTGTCTCCAGGAGCCTTGGTTAATATTTTTTTTTCCTTTATTGATTTTAGAGAGAGCTGGGGGGGAGAGAGAGAGAGAGAAACATCGATGAGAGAGAACAATTGGCCACCTCCTTCATGGCCCACAACCTGGGCAGGTGCCCCGACTGGGAATCGAACTAGCAACCTCTTGGTGCATGGGTCGATGCTCAGCCACTGAGCCAGGCTAGAACTTATTAATGTATATATAATCTGAGACATTTTTTAGAATCATGGAAAATTTGTAGGATGTTTGCAACAACAAAGAATGATTGGCTAAATCATATTTTACTACAGCCATTAACCTTTACACAGTTGTAGACATGTAGGCATAGGAAGTTGCGAAGTTTATAGTCCAAAAATGTTAAAACTAGACTTGGTGGTGTATACTTTTTTTTCATTCTTCTTCTTGCTCTTAGAAAAAGGGGGTAAGTTTTTTTAAAAGACTTCCTGGGTAATTAAAAAGAAAAACAACATACAAGACCCAAAATTGGCTCTAAATATTGGGCATAGCCTTTAGTGTTCACAAAAGATGACAGCAATTGGCCACAGGTTTAATGTTTTGTTATCTCTAAGTTTCTCCCATTCAGTGTAACCTTGTTATTTTGTAATAATTACATTTGTAGGGAGTCACTGAGTATAGATGACATCTCTCTACTTAGAGTGGTAATCTAATTTAATATTGACTGGGTTTATTTTGTTTTGATTAACAGAATGTTTGGAATGGTTTTGGAAAAAATAATTATTCCTGAAATTCAGAAAGTATCTGGAAATGTAGAGAAAAAGATTTGTGCGGTCGGCATAACCAAATTACTAACAGAATGTCCCCCAATGATGGACACTGAGTATACCAAGCTATGGCAAGTACTCCATTCTAAAGTTCTTGGAAATTACAGCTTTTTCCTATGACTGCAAAATCAATCCAGCTTACTCTTGAGGGCCAAGAGAACTGGGTTCCGAGTTTGGCTTCTCCACTAGCAACCATCAGATCCAAGACATGGTCTGTGGATCTTGTTTCCGGATTCTTAACTTTTTGCAGGGGGAGGTAATTCATGAACCTCTTTTTTTAAATTTTGTATTTTCACCGGAGGACATTTTTGCATTCATCTTCAGGTACAGTTGGAGGGAGAGAGGGAGGAAGAGAGAGAGAGAAACAGTGACTGGTTGCCACCCACACGACAGGGGCCGGGAACAAACAGCAAATAAGGTACGTGCCCTTAGCGGGAACTGAACCCAGGCCTATCTGGTCTGCGGGCCGTCGCTCTAACCGCTGAGCCAAACCGGCCAGGGCTCATGAACCTCTTGAGAGTCTAGTAAAAGTCCCTGTTCTCGAGGAATCTCTAAGACTGTTTAATGATAGGTGCCCAAGTAAACTGGCTTCAGTCTTGAGAAACTGAACAGGGTAAGAGAAGATCTTACATGCTTGTGCTCAATGTCGTGCAGACTGAGATTTTCTGACCTCTTGCCTCTCCTTTTCTTATGATGGTTTTACTCAGCCAGCCCTTTCATAAAGTGATCTGATGAGGATTATTTCTCCTACCTTATAGCATTGAATGTCTTTCATTTGGCATGAGCCACATAGCCTTCTAAATGGCCAGGCCCGGGTCACAAAGCCTGCTTGAGACTCTGGGGATGGAATAGTTTTCAAAAGAGAAATTGGGGTGCTGTGGCTAAAAGAATTGAGAAATGGTTTCTGGATAGGCATGAGCACTAATGTCCATCTTAATTTCATTGGTCCTGTACTATTCTTAAGACTGTGTCTATGATACACGTTTCTAAGGAAATGCTGTTTAATACTTAAATCTTTTGTCTTTCTTTCTTCCAATCCAGGACTCCTTTACTGCAGTCCCTGATTGGCCTTTTTGAGTTACCTGAAGATGATTCCATCCCAGATGAAGAACATTTCATTGACATAGAAGATACACCAGGATACCAGACTGCCTTCTCACAGTTGGCATTTGCTGGGAAAAAAGAACATGATCCTGTAGGTCAAATGGTGGCCAACCCCAAGATTCACTTGGCACAGTCACTTCACAAATTGTCTACTGCCTGTCCAGGAAGGGTAAGTATCTTTGTCGTCAGAGACCATGATTAATGAAGACCTTTATCGGAAGGTCTAAGAGTAGTTGTTCTGCTGCCTGTTATTATTGGTCAGTATATTCAAATGACTTCCCATTGTAGTCGAGGCTTATTTTTCTTTATATATATTTTAAATGTTTCTATTGATTTTTTTTGGGGGGGGGGATAGAAACATCGATTGGCTGTCTCCTGCCGCCCCTCTCCCCCACCCCTGGCACATGCCCTGACTGGGAATCGAACCCAGACCTCTCAATCCACTGAGCCACATCGGCAGGGTGGGCTACAAAAATATTTTGAGTAATTTTAGGAGTAAATCAGGGTTTAAAACCTTTTAACTAGAAATGTATTTCTGTCCTGGCCGAAATTCATATGAGGCAACAGATTGATGTTTCTCCCTTCCTCTCAAATTGAGCCCTGACTGGTTTGGCTCAGCGGTTAGAGCGTCGGCCTACAGACCAAAGAGTTGAGGTTCGGCCCTGGCCCTGGTGGGAGGCAACCAATTGATGTCTCTGCCACATGGATGTTTCTCTCCCACTCTGTCTGAAAATAAATGGGAAAATATTCTTGGGTAAGGATTAAAAAAAGAAATGTATTTTGTTTCCCTATCAAACAGGCATTTATGTTTTTTGTTAAAGTGGAAGGGAGGGAGGAGACAGATGCATCGATTGCTGCCTCCTATATGAGCCTTTGGTCCATGGGCTGATGCTTTAACCACAGCATACTCAGAAATTAAATAACAGAATATAGAGTAAACTTAATAATGGCTGTATTGTTCCAGTAGCCATCACCTTTTACAGATCCTTAAGATAAATGTATATATTATTTTCATTGTTTTATGTAAACAAAAATAATGTAGAAATAGCACAACGAACCTTCACATGCTGACCTTCAGTAATAATCTGCCAATCTTGTTTCATGCATTTCTTTTAAAAAAAATTTTTTAGAGGATTTTACAGTAAGCCTTAGGCAGCATGTCATCTCACCCATATAGATTAAAAAATATAATAACCACACTGCCTCTACCATAGTGAGCAATAGTAATTCCTTATGGGTGCACTTTTTAGACTTTTTTTTTTTTTTGTACAGATAGAGTGGGAGGGAGAGAGAGAGAGAGAAACATCGATGTGAAAGGGACACATCGAGTGGCTGCCACCCGCACGACCAACCAGGGCCGGGGTCAAACGGCAACCGAGGTACGTGCCCTTAGCGGGAACCGAACCCGGGTCTCTCCGGACTGCAGGCCGACGCTCTAACCGCTGAGCCAAACTGGCCAGGGCCCGATTCATTTTTTAAGGCATAAAAGTAGTTGAGTTAGTTGGGAATTCCTTTCCAGACCTGTGGAAGCTCTCGTGAGGAGATGGGGTTTGTGTTGATATAGTAGCATCTCCAACAGCCGGTTTCCTGACTCTCGTAGGTTCCATCAATGGTAAGCACCAGCCTCAATGCAGAAGCGCTCCAGTATCTCCAAGGGTACCTTCAGGCGGCCAGTGTGACACTGCTTTGAACTATGATTTGACTAATGAAGCCCAGGATGGTCTGAAGAAAGCTGGGAGACTTCTGAGCACAGCTGCATAAAAACAAAGCAAGTTTTCCTTTTGAACTTGTCACAAATTCCATCTTGTAAGAAATATTAAATGTTGCTTTACTATGAACCTTGACTAAATTAGGTGGTTTTTGTGATCACAAATATAATTGGATGGCTTTTCCAGTTTGCAGCTTCAAGGGACAAGTATTAATAGCTTACCATAGATTTGAGTTGAGCATTTGCAGTTTGGCTAATTTAAAAAATTTGACACTGTGGAGACTTTTCTGTTAACTGAATCCTTTTGTTTTGAGGCTGATACCAATTTGTATTTTTGTCTGTTTCTCCTTAAGCTTTTATTGGCAATGTAAGTAAAGAAATCACTTGTGATTTGCCAAGAAGTACGCATTTCAGTTTTAAATCTGTAATCAGCAATAAAAAGTCCTAAGCGTAATGTATCTAAGAACCGCTTAAAGACAGGTTTTTGGTGCTCTCTGATATTTATAATGAAGAATTTCTTTAAATTTTTCTTTTTAAGTAATTCACTCAGATTACTTACCTTTTTACAAGGGAACATTTACACCCTTCTTTGGGGTTGCTGCATAAGTGGTAAAGCTGTTGTTAAAAAGCTCATGTATGATGGGAAAAAGCCATGAACTATATGAATTCATTCACCTATTTCTGGCTTCCCTTCCTTATGAACCGGGTGATGTGAGAAACTTGGTAGTGTAGAAGCACATCAAAAAAGCCATGACAGGTCAAGGGAAAGGCTTCTGACTTCATGTAAAAGACAACCAACTGGATAAACAAAACAAGAGAAGAGGTTTATTTACCTTGCACCAGGAAACTGTTCATCTTGCAGCTAGAGTCAACCTTTCTGCATCTGGAGAGAAAAATTATTGCTGTTCCCAGGAACCTGGGTTTCTGCAGCAAACATCAGCTGAGAAGACATCCTGACCTGTCTCCAAGTGGGTCTGCAGGGGAAGAAGGGAGTTCAGGACCTACCAGGTCCTGCCATTCCCAGACAGAGCCAGTTTATGTCCTAAGAGCTGGACAGCCCCACGCCTCAGGTCCGAAGTTAGACTGGTGCCAACCCTACGCAGAGCATCCTTCGTGGTGACTGCAGATCTCAGGACAGAATGAGGGAAGACGTCCCTGAGATGGTACCTGCTGAGCACCCTGGGCAGTCACCTTTCCAAGGAGGATTTGTAGTCAAAATGGTGAAGTAGGTAAACACCATGCTTGCCTCCTCCCACAACCATATTCAGTTAAATTATATAGAACCACCACCTGAAGACTAGATGAACAAAAATCCTCTTACTAAGGATACGAAGAAGAAACCAGGATGAGACTGGTAGGAGGGGCAGAGACCAGCAGTGTGGCTCAGTGGATTGAGTGTCATCCTATGGACTGAGAGGTGTCAGTTTGATTCCTGGTCAGGGCACCTGCCCAGGTTGTGGGCTCGATCCCCCAGTGGGGGATGTGTATAGGAGGCAGCTAATTGATGTTTCTCGCTCTCTCCCTTCTTCTCTTTAAAAAAAATCAATAAAAACATTATAAAAAGAAAAAAAAATCAGGAGGAATGTCTTGGCTGCAGAGGGGTCCCCCCCAGAGGAACGATGCCAGCCCCACACCTGTCTCCAGCTTGAAAAGCTCTAGCGGCCTATGACGAGGAACTGAATTGAGCTTAAAGGTGAGGGTTGGAGGGTCAGGACAGCTGGGGATGGAAGCAAAGGCAGACACCACTACTGCTCCTTTGTTGGCAGGCTCAGGCTGGCACCCACCTGAGCTCTCCATTAAGCTAACACTGATCTACGCTGAACCTCGCCTGTTGCCCTGAGACCCCACCCAACTAGAACGCCCAAGCCACTTCCAGCAACTTTCCCATGAAAGTGGCCTTCCTCCATGGGTGCTATGGATTTGAGTAAAATCTCTGAATCCCAACAACCCCAAACAAGGAGCTGCTAGCCTCATAGTACCCTGAACCTCTGGCTAAATGGCCCCAAGCCTGGCACAAGTGGCGACCAGTCTCAACTTGTGCAGTAACTCCCATCAGGTGGCCTCAGCTTGCAGCATAGCCTCTCTCCAGAGCCTCCAAGCATGGGACCAGTGGAACCAACTGCAGATCCTTTTGTAGCTCCCACCAGGAAGCCCAAGTCGAGCACAAACAGCAGCAGACTTTGGCCTACACTGGAGCCCCTCCTAAGACACTCCAAAACCAACATGCCTGGTGGCTGGCTTCAGGCCAGATCATACCACCACCTAACCAGCTCCACAGATGACACCCCTGAAGGTTGAACTTGGCTGGCACCAGAGCCCCACTAAAGCAAACTTCCCCTCCCTGGGATCAACCTCACGTTAACAGCTAGTCAGCCAGAGGGTCAGTCCCACCCACTGAAGTGCCAATAGCAATCAAGGCTCAACTGCAACAGTAAGGTTCACATAATCTACACAAAGGAGTGCCCTGGAGCACCAGGCTCTGGTGACCAGGGAGACTGTGCCACTGGGCTTCCCAAGACACCTACTATGTAAGGCTACTCTCAGGACTGGGAGACATAGCACCAAGGGATATTGTGGGCTCCATTCCCTCAAGGGGGCATGCAAGAGGCAGCCCACTGATGTTTCTTTCTTTCTAGCTCCCTCAAAAAAAAAAACCAAAAAAAAAAACCATTCTTTAAAAAAGTTTAAATATTAAACATGAGTTGCTCAGCATATATTAAGCAAATAAGTACAAATTTCCAAAATTTCATATTTTGGGATGCCATGTAAAGTACAGTCTGATTAGACTATGGTGTTTTAAAAATTATAGTTTCACATGTGTATTCTATACAGTGACAAATTCCAACTGCTGCTTTCAGGAACAAACCACCACCACTCCTCCCTGCCCATGCAGAAGTGCTTAAGTGCTTGACAAATAATTTAACTCAAGGATGTCTAATCTGGACATCTTTCCAAAGCAGCCAGAGATGGTATCACCTTAGAAAAACCTATTATCAAAGGAACCCGGAAATCCTAACATCCCTGATATTAAGTGGACACTTTGCCCTTTTTGAGTGGTGTCAACGAGGCCCAATTGGAAATAGCAACTAGAAGTTGTGAATTACTTCTAAGACTGTTCTGTCTTATCACCAGTGTGCATACTGTGAGGCATTGAGCCTTCAACACAGACACCTAAGAACACAGGGCAGACATGGTAGGTGACAAATGGAAGAGGAAGTTGCCAGGGCTGGGAGATTGGCTACAATCTCTATGCTGGAAGAGTACTAAAAACAGAAAGGGAAGGTTGGGAAGAACCCAGAACTGCTTGAGGTATCAGTATGAATGCATGGCTTTTATATACAAACAAACAGGAGTACATAGACACATGTACACTACACATACATATTTACCAGCTGTCTGCTCAGAAATCCCAGAAACACCACCCCAGTAGCAATGAGTGCTGCAAGCACCCAGATCTTTGTTTCTAAATGCTGTTACTAAAAGGAATCAGGGCCCTGGAGGGTTTGACTCAGCAGTTACAGGGTCAGCCCTTGGACCAAAGAGTTGGTCTGATTCTGGTCAAGGGCATGTACCTCGGTTACGGTTAGTCCCTGGCCCTGGTCCGGATCATGCAGGAGGCAACCAATCAATGTCTCTCTCTCACGTCAATGTTTCTCTCCCTCCCTCCCTCTTACTTTGAAGATAAAACAAAAATGTCCTTGGGTGAGGATTAAAAGGGGGAGGGGGGCAGGATTCCTTGGAGAACAGGCTGCACCTAGGACTAGGGGGAGGGAAGAACCTTTTCCTTTTACTGCCTTGATGCCTGCAGTGCTGAATCCCCTCTACTCCTCGGTGTGTTTTCCATAACCTGAGCACTTTCCGTTCCAGTAGTGTAATCCACAGGCTGGCTTTACAGTGAACAACTTTCTGAGCATCTTCTAAAATTGAGAGAAAACCATCAGTGCCCTCCCTCAGCCAAGCTAGAAAGGAATGCCTTCCCTTTACTCCTCTGGGTGTGAGAACACCCAAGAAGGGGAAGAGACTCGTGGTGTCAGGAAGTCTCCTCCCAGTCACTTTGGGTAACAGTATCAGGTTCAGACAGAGGCATCTCCCTTCACCTGGTGCCCACGCCTCTGGTAGCGCTCCTCCCCCCACCCCCGTGCTTCTGTGCCCTCACATCTTTAGTTACTGCTCAACAGGACCGAAAAAATCATTAGTAGCTGTTTATTGATCAATGGTTTGATATAAAGTTGTTTCAGGTCTAAAGAATTTTGCCCAAATGGAATCACAAGCATTACAAAGTTTTCTTTTTCCTTAAAAAAAAAAAAGGATAGGGGGCAGGTTGGGAGGAGACCCAACCTAGCAGTAGTGACATCTGAGAATAAATTAACAAAAAAAATTTAGTATTACCATTTATTGGTGATAAACACTAAGTTTACTTACATTCCATGGGGAGAAAAATTTCCAGCGTAAACAATGGATCGAAGCAGTACTTAACTCGCAAGGCTATGGTGCTTTCCATCTGGACCATGTGCAGGAAGGACCTTACCGCACATACTTCTGTGCACAGTAACACATCAAAAGCAATACAGTTTTAGAGATAAACAGGTCATTCTTTTCAGCCCGACATGGAGATGTAATCAACAGTATAAAGCACTCGGGAAAATCAATCTGCAGTTTTATATGTACTACATGGAGATCATATCCTGTAGTGTTGTGAAAGCTATGTGTCCTCAAGAGCCATATGTATATACACACAATTGTAATAACCTTTAAGACAAAGATCAAAGTTCATTTAAGTCCTGTTGCATTAACAAAAATGAAATAGCAAAGGAGCCAAATGATCATTGAAAGTTTAAAATTCCTAAACTGTCCAATTTATACAACTGTAGGAAACTTCATAAAGATTTCTGAGAAGTCCAGGACTGTTTCAGCTAAACCAGAGGGCACACAATTTACATCACTGAAATGGTCCTGGGTTAGTCCAATAAAATACAAATTATAACCATATACACATGGATTTATCTTTGCCGGTTAGATTACTGATAAAGTTAGTCTCAGGAAAGTTTCTAAACTGTGCTATGTAACTAGATACAATTGAGAAACTCAAAAGGAAAATTTATATAGTGTCATTTCAATCAAAAGAAAATAATGAAAGTAAGAATGTGTATTTCTTTTGGAAGAGAAAGCAGTGGTGATGGTGTGGGGACCGTGGGAAGTGGGCCATAGCACGCTAGAAAGGTTAGCTTGCGCTGAGTAGGAAGCATCTGATTTTTCTCTGGTGCTTTCAGCTCTGGGCCGGTGGTCTAAGGCCTCTCTCCGGCGTGGGTGTCCAGGATATGTCCCAAAGTGTTTGAGTGAGCCAGTCTGAGAAGGGGTCATGCTTTTTGCTTTCTTCTTTTACACAGCAAAAAATACAAACACAAATCCCAAACCAAGCACTGAGGTGCCCGGGCCACAGACCTGCTGGTTTCCCAACTGAACCAGGGCTGCTTGGCAGGCCCCACCTCCCCACAGCACATGTAAGAGCAGCCACGGCCGTCTCCTTGCGTTCCCGCCTGTCACCACTGCTGTCTCCAGTTCTTTACCCATCATGTCTCTCGGCCCACTGGAGGTATCAGAAATCCCAAATTTTCAAAGCAGTTTCAGTATTTTCAGTATACGTTGGGAATTTTATAATGGTTCATGGCCAGAAGGGGTTCAGCACCTTCCACACCTTTAAGGAAGAAAACAAAAGTGATACTAGTTTTTAAATATAAGAGAATTAAAACCATGTTTAAAAAAAAGTCACAGACACTGAGAAGCCTAACAGCACAGGTCCCAGCTTATGATAATTGGATCACAGTAAAGTTTTCACAGGACACACTGTCAAGTGAAACAGGCAAGGAGAAGAATGTGTGCACAGTGTGCTATCTCTGGGAAGAAAGAAAGAAAATAAAGAAGTATATGATTATATTTGTATAAAAAAGGAGCAAGTACCCATACATAAGAAACTAATAAAAAAGTGACCCGTGGGTAAGAGTAGAAAGAATGAGATGGATGGGGACTGCATGAGGGCGCTATTTATTCATCACAGCATACCTTTGACAGTAATTTTGACTTTGGAATTATAAGAATGTATTAACTATTCAAAAAAAAAAAGTGGCGCTCTCTGTCCCAGACTTGGAAAGCTGTCCAGAGAACGGGACAGAAGTGACTGAAGCAAGGGTTTCACTGCTGAGTTAAGCAGTTTGAATTTAATGCAGACAAGGAAGAGAACCGCCTCTCCGTGTAAGTCAGCTCACTCACACTGACATTGGTCCATTTCCTGTTCTTGGCATCTCTGTATTTTGTTGGTCCAACTCAGACAGCAACTTTAAAATGTTCAGTGCGGCCTAGCAGAGAATAAAAAGAAAAGTCTGACCACAGCATAAGAGACTGATTAAGGAGCGAAGAGATTCTCCTATTAGCCAACAAAGCAGGTGGTCCCACTAAATAACCTTATTCTTTAATATCTGAAGTTTTAATTTAAAATTTACATCATTAAATCACCTGTTACTTTTATTATATATTTCCTTCTAGTATTTTTAACCTTATCATAACTGGACTGTACAAATTTTATGTCTTGCTTTAAAACAAAAATTGATGTTTCCTTGTTAAAATACATTATCTTTGGAGACATTAATTTGACTGACGCATTATATTCCACCGGGTGAATGTGCCGAAGTTTATGTAGATTAATCGATTCCTTTTCGGTTTTAATATTTCTTACAAAAATTTCACCTTAACAGAATACCAAAATAAGGGGCTTTCTGCAGCTGCCAGAACCTGGGCCTGCAAGTCCTGCTTCCGGTAAGAGGCAGACTGAACAGTATCTGGAGGAGTTCCAGGACCCAAGGTCAGCAAGGGAAGGGCTGGTTAAAGCTGAAGAGTTCTCGTAAACAGAATGTGAAATCAATCCAATAAACTAAGAAAAAAGTCTTCAGAAATATGAAATCTATAAAACAATCAACTTCCAAAGTATGTTGGAGACCCCTTTATCTATCTTCCTGAGGCCAGCAATAGGTTGGAACCAGGCCCACCGTGTGGGAGAACATACCATATCATGGCAGGATTCCAAATCCTTTCCAATACCGTGGCTGATCAGAGGTGGCTGAGAGGAGCAATTGATAAGAGAGACAAATTCGTTCTTGTTGTTTTTGGGGAAGTCTTTGTATTCAACCTACGGGGGAAAAGAAAACTGAGGCAAGAGTAGGGAAGCACATGGGGCATGAGGCTGCAGCTCCAGTCCCAGTGAAGAAGATGACACCTCTCTCCCTGGTCTCAGCCTGACATGCTTAGTCAGCACAAAAGATGGAGGGGCACCTGGGGCTGCAGGCAGATCATGACCACAGCTTCCAGAATCTTCCAGGAACCTAGATGTCTACTCAAAACCCCAGTTTGGCCCTGCTGGAGTGGCAAGGTGGTTGAGCACTGACCCATGCACCAAGAGATCGCAGGTTCAACTCCTGGTCAGGGCACATGCCTAGGTTTTGGGCTTGATCCCCAGTAGGGGCATGCAGGAGGCAGCCCGTCAATGTTTCTGTCTCATCGATGTCTCTCTCTCTTTCCAAAAAAATAAAAAACATGAAAAGAAAACACACCCAGTTTGAAAGAAGCTATGTTGCCCTGGCAGGTTTGACTCAGCAATTAGAGAGTTGGCCTGAGGACTGAAGGGTCTTGGGTTTGATTCCTGATCAAGGGCACATACCTGGGTTACAAGTTCAATCCCCAGCCCTGGTCGGGGTCGTGTGGGAGGCAACCAATTGATGTGTTTCTCTCACATCAATGTTCTGTCAAGAAAGAGAGAGAGAGAGAGAGAAAAGGAAGGAAGGCAGGGTTAGGGTTAGGGTAAGAGAAGGAAGAAAGGAAGCCATGTGCTTCCCTACCAGGGGAAAAGGGCTAGCACAATGAATGCGTTCTCACTGAAATCTAAATTTATAGCTACCACTAGATCAGAGACTTTGTTATTACAGATGGCTTCGAGAATTAAAATTTTATTACCAAAGGTCAAGGATTTTCTCTTTATCACACAGGCTTATAGTACATCCCATACTCTCTACCCTTCCCCAGGATGACTCTTTTAACCACGCTTGCCTCACCCATTCCCCTAGACAAAAATCTTGATTTAAAGAACAAGGTACAAAGCTATTTTTCTGAGAGAAACAAGATGACAGACCACACAGCTCAGGTTTAGCAATTACCTGGAATCCCTGGACTCTGGAAAGATAGTCCAATTGCTCAGAGGGTCTCGTGAGAGGTCCATGGGGTACGTGGCCTGAAGAGATGTTATTCTTTAAAATGGTCTCGGCTGTGGGTGAGGTGCCCCCATACAACAATTCACGGGCTATCATGGCAGTTACTGTGGCCTTGGCAGGATTCGGAGCTGCCCGGGTAGAATCTTTGGTGTGATGACCTTGACTGACTCCTACAGCCTGGGCAACCTCAGGCACCATGGGAAGAATCCCAGCAGGCAGCTGCTGATGACTAAGATAAGGCATCCTAAACTCGTCCTCTTTATTGCCTAGGGAGGGACACAGACAAATCAATGCGAGTGCACACACACTACGCTGCCTGCCTGGAAAGACATCACACACCCCATTCCAACCCACCCTCAGCACGCACACTGCCATAGAGATGAGGCAGAGCTGAACACATCATAATTCGTTCACTGGGCACCGGCTCTTACCAGGAACCATGCAAATCCCAGAATCACATTCAGATTGAGACAATATTAACGGCACACTTACTAGTCCCATTTTCATCCCCAGAGCCAGGTTCAAAAAAGGTTACTTTTCTTCCATCCCCTGGTTTCTTTATAGGTGTCTTAAAAAAAAAAAAAAAACTATGAATATAAATCAAACTGTTGAAAAATTAGTTCCTGCTAGCTAAAAAACTATGAACGCTAATCAGCATTAGTCTTTGGTTTTTATGGTTTTTATGCTTTTGAAATCTGAGGAGTCGCTCAGCAGAAAGCCCTCCTCCCAAAGCCTGACCACTGGGTTTGCTTCTGCTGCTCAGTGAGCCCCAAGGCGAAGCCTCTGCTCTCCCAGCGCACAGCCCCACCCACCCACCCAGCCTGTCTCCAGAGCATCTAACAGCGCAGCGCACTGGACTGAGTGCTGAGCCTCCGCCTGTACTCACAGGAAGAGAGGGGAACATTAAATCAGAAGGAGCCTGAGGATACTAGATTGGTAGAGCCCATGGTGAGGAAAGACGCTTTTCGACTGAAGCTAAACAATTATTTCTTGGAGCTACTATCCAATTAAGATATAAGGTGACATTTCCACAGGTGATAAACTTAGGAGGAAATGTTACTAGATAAAAATTTTGTCCAATACAGGGTCTCCATTCTGAGAAGGTAAGGATGCCTATGAATGCTCTAATAAGATTTTGGAATGAAAAACCCAAAAGCCAAGTCCAGGATCTATGCAGATTCTCTGATGAGTGTCTGGGGTCCCACTCATTATGTGCCCAGCAGGTGCTGGGCTGACACAACTGGCAGAGGGGAATGAATCAGTACTGGATTTTTCAAGTTTATCCTGACAGGAGCATTCATTCAGTCATTGGAGACAGGGCCAGTCAAGGCTTTTATTGGGGGTACTGCTTAACTCTTGGCAGAAGTTAAATGTTCAATGTGGCATTATTTTTACCTAGTGTTAAATTTATAAAGAAAAAAGAAATCTCAAGTCTAAACTGTGGATTTGGCCATCTCTAAAATCACATTAAGTGTCCCAGAAAAACCAAAGTCTGCTCCACAAATCACGAGAGCCAAAGTTGATTCATCTTTTATGCAGGCCTCATTCTAAGAACGCAAATGATGGAATCACTTATTCATTAATTTCAAGCCCAATTACCCTTCTAACAGAGAGGAGCAGGCTGCCCTCCAGTGAGGCATCCTAGACCACAAAGATACTGAAACAATAATAACTTGACCCAGAGCCATTCCTCTGGCCATGGACATGTGATTCCCCTTCTGACCACATTATAAAGGTCCAGATGGAGAAGACGTTGATCGGCAGGGCTGCTTTATAGCCAGGATGAAGCCTTGCCCTGAAGCTTGGCCCTGGAGGTGACATGAGGGGAGAAGGACAAAGAGAGCAAAGACACAGAGCCCCAAGCAGTCACCTTCTCCTCTGATTTGAGGGCTGGTTTGGTGGGCTGAGCCTGCGGGACTTTGAAACCAAGAATCTCCAGCATATTCTCGGCTGCATTGCGTTTGGCCACCTTCTTGTTGGTGCCCGTTCCCTCTGCGGTATGGTTTCCCACCTTCACCTGCATAAAAACAGCAGGATTCATATCAGTGCTTAAACCTTCAGAATAAAGAACAGTCAGGAATTGATGTCCTAGCCAAAGACTCCAGCAATAGAAGCCAGACAGCTTACCAGTGACGTGAGGGAGCCAGCCTGCACCAGCCTTTGCAAGCAGACTGGTAAATATGCAAGAATTGGGAGAACTTGTTGTTAAAGACAGTCATTATCAAAGTGTATTATATAAGCTTATACTTAAATAAATTCAATGGAACCTCAATTCTCAAACTTGTTCTGAAGTCTGTTCAAAAACCGAATCATTTTTGTTCCCATTAGAAAGAATGCAAATTGGCCTGGCCAGTGTGGCTCAGTGGAGTAAGCATCATCCCATGGACTGAGAGGTCCCAGTTCAATTCCTGGTTAGGGTATATGCCCGATTGTGGGCTTGATCCCCACCCCACCCCGGGAGGGGGGGGGGCTGTGCAGGAGGCAGCCTATCTATATTTCTTTCTCACATCAATGTTTCTATCTCTCTCCCGTTTTCTCTAAATAAATTCAATAAAAACATTAAAAAAAAAAAAGAAAGCAAATTGAATTAATCCATTCCAGACTCCCAAATGACTCCCTGTTTTAACCTTTCCTACATACAGTACATATCTAGTGTACTGTTTAATCTATAAACACTTTGAATACTTAAGATTTATCATTTCTTAATTTGACTACATTTTGCAGTTATCTATGCTTTCGAAGTTCTTTACATCAGTTGCATTTAAATATTCTTATTGATTTTTAGAAAGAGGGCATGGGAGAGGGAGGGAAAGAAACATCGATGTGAGCGTGCAACATCTATCAGCTGTCTCCTGCATGCCCCCTACTGAGGATCAAGCTGGCAACCTAGATATGTGTCCTAAATGGGAATTGAACTGACAACTTTTTGGTGCACAGACAACGCCCAACCAACTGAGCCACACTGGTCAGGGCACATCTGTTGTATTTGTATGGTGGAAATGTTATATAATTATATGTTGCTGCTCATTGCTTCTTGACTCCATAACCAGGCATGGAAACAGCCATGATTGGGATTTCATGGTACTGAAATCTGCAAATACTACAGAGAGCAAGAATTAAGTTTTGTTGAATCTTCTAGACTTAAGTGATGGAGAAAAGGTTAATAATGAAAATTAAGCTTAAATGTGTGTAAAGTCTCAGCCATGACACTTTAGTACAAAAACTGAAAATTCTTCTATGAAATGCCAAAATTATTATCTGATTGAACAAAAAAGTCACTCATATCGTTTACAAATAAGAGAAGTTTCCACATTGTCTTTGTTGTTTTCCTTTCATCTCATTCGTTAACATGAACAAAAATACCAACCAATACTCATGCTGGAACTACACTCATTTGTCAGTGACATGAGCAGCCTGGACAGTACAAGCATTTATCCACAGTCTGAGTTTATAATTCTATTGTCACTGATGGTCACACTGAAGTTAACAAGGTATGAAATTTACAATAGAGTACTACACATATGTAATATATTATTTGTAAACATCCTTTCTTCAGTGAAATTTATAAAACATCTGTGTATGTATATACAGGGTGGGATAAAAGGTTTAGAGTTGTGAGCAAGAAAGTTTATTTTTGTATTATTATTTATTAATTATTGTACTGTTTTTCATATGAACAACTAAATCTACTATTTAGTTGTGTGTAGATCTCCACACACACATCCCTCCACCATGCTACCCTCTCCTAAGAGCTGGAAGTAAAAATATTCCAGGACACCCGAAGCCACAATCCCCTTGTAAGCTGGTCTGACCAAATCCAGATGCCCCATGTCACAAAACTGAGTCAAGAAAACCTTCCCTGGCCGGTGAAGAAGGGTCTAGGTTGAACCTCAAATAGCCATCTACAAGCCATTTGACCTTGGGCAAGTTAACTACTGACCCTCTCAGCAAGCTGGTTTCTTCTTGTAGAATGGATCAATCATTACTCTTCTCGCCTTCTGACTGGGTAGGTGGAACACACCAGGTTAAGTGATGGTGCTTTAAGTTGTAAATTGCTACAGAAGAGTTAAGTATCCTGATTTTCACTTGACAACACTATTAAATGCAAATCACAAATTAAGCTGCCCATGTAACGATCTGTTTAATAAGCTAAATACAAGAAGAAACCCTCTGTACTAATCTGAAGTGCCACTGCACTCTAAGGAAGAGCAATCTGGACTCCAAATTCTATAGAAGGATTAGGAGGAGCAAGAAGAGATTGTTTGATATAACTTATAAAATTTACCTTCTGAAAATATAAACCTTCAGGTAGATGTAAAAAATAAAATAATTCACTACTCCAGCGCTCTTCAAAACCGACTCACTGTGTCCAAGCGCCTACCTGCAAGCAGCGCACATGTGGTGCATATAGGAATAAAGCTTAAAGGCACCAAATTCCTGCAAGCAACATGGTCTTAATACGGAGAGTGCTGATGGCAGGAACAGTCCACTGGACCAAGGGGATCTCTTCAGGGTCTGAGAAGGACAAGGTCAGAGAAGGGCCCTCCACAAGCCACACTGACCCACCTGCATCACAAACTCCCTGCGGCGCGGGGCACCTCGCTCTGTGAGAAGCATGTACTCCGGCTCCTTGTCCTTTTTTGCCTGCTGGATCTGGGCCAGTCTGCTAACTGGGTTGATCACCTGGCCATGCTCTGGGCCACTCTGTACCTGAGGGACAATTATTGCAGAAACCATGTGCCATGTTAGTCACAGAAAGGACCTTGTCAATTCAGAGATCAGGACACAACAAGAGTTACTTTTATATTGATCTAATGGCTAAGAATTAATCTGCTTTTCTAACTTTTTTAAAATTGAAAGATGCTTAATGATTTTCTATTATTGTCCTAAAGTGATTTTAAGGTCTTAGAAAACCAACATCAACATTTCATTATGAGTAGGCAAGCTGCTTTTTAACAATTTCAACATATCACAATTAATGAAAAGGTAAAAAAAGAGAACACTATTCCTAAAATTTCCCTAAACTCTGTATTGCTAGATGAGTTCCCAACCCGACGGGTGTGGCTCAGTGGACTGAGTGTCATCCCATGAACTGAGAGGTCCTGGTTTGACTCCAGTCAGGGCACATGCATGACTCAAAACTCTAAAACAAGGTGTACAGGGAGATGTCTTGCTCCTACACCTGCCCCTGGGCCAGCTTTCCTCCCACAAATCTCCTTCACGATGGAACAGTGCAGCAGTCCACAGGGTAGAGGAAACTTGGTTCATTGCTCTCCCTGTGGGTGGGTACTGACTGCCCTTGTGATCACAGGGCTCTGAGGACACCCACATCCACAGATGTGTGCATGCCTGCAGGTGCCTCCACTGAACCCAGCTCAGTGTCCTTACCTGCCTGACATGGGACTCCCAAAAGAACTACCAAGGTGGCTCCTGTAAAGGGTCCCAGGCCTGGTATGTGCGCTAGCTCCCTCCCCTTCCACTAGTCAGCAGCCAGCCTTCCTAGCTCCCCAACTGTCCTGGGGCAATGAAAACAGGATATTCAGAAAGATTCTTACCCTGACTATGGGTTTTGTTTTCTTTTTGATTCGGGGCTTCACCCGCTCAACTGTAGGCAGGGGTGGTAACTTCCTCAGCTCCTCAAGAACAGCTATAGCAGCATTTTTCTTTGAAATCTTCTTGCTCTTCCCTTCACCTTCCCCCACAAACTCCCCAACAGACACCCTGGTCACAAAGCTCTTCATGTGGGGTGGGCCACTCTCCCGGGCGACCTGTTTTAGAGGGAAAGACTGAATGAAAGCGTGACAGACACTTATTACAAGCTGTAGGACACACTGGTTAGCACACTACTTCACATGAGACACAGATAAAGGGGAATTAAAGACAAAATCCATTAAATGAAGGGAGTATAAATGTTGGCAAAGGAAACAGTGATCATGCTGAATACTTTCTTTTTTTCTATTTTTCAAACATGTTAATGCTCTGGAGTCTGAGTCCAAAACACTGAGGCATGGAAGAGGGAAACATTTTTTTTTCTTTCTTTTATTATTTTTTAAAGTTTTTTTTTTGTTTTTATCCTCACCTGAGGACATTTTTGCATTTATTTTCGGATATAGCAGGATGGGAAGGGAGAGACACAGAGAAACATCGATGTGAGAGAAACCCGCATGACCCCAACTGAGGCCGAGGCACATGCCCTTAGCAGGAGTTGAACTTGGGGCTCTCTGGTCCACGGGCCGACACTCTAACCGCTGAGCCAAACTGGCCAGGGCGAGGGAAACATTTTCTATCACCACCCTCCCATAAGAATGGCTCACATCTTACCAGGGTCACAGACTATCCTGAATTACACATGATCCACTGTGGACGGCATAAAGGAAGCTGGCCCAGCAAAGCCCAGAAATAACTGCAGCACAAGAATTCAAGTTTAATATTTGCTCTGAACCTCCGGCCAAGATTGATATTAAATACTGGCTGCTATGCAGCTGTAAAGAAGAATGAGAAAATCTCTAACAATGAGAGTGATTAAAATCTAAGGAATCGCTAAGTGAAAAAAGCAAACTGCAGAAGAGTAGATATAGTTCTTTAACTTCTCTGTTTAAAAAAAGGGTTTTAGGCCCTGGTCAGTTTGGCTCAGCAGTTTAGAGCATCCGCCCGTGGACCAAAGAGTCACGGGTTCATTTCTGGTCAAGGGCACGTACCTAGGTTGCAGGTTTGATCCCTAGCCCTGGTCAGGGTTGTGCAGGAGGCAACCAATCGATGTGTCTCTCTCACATCGATGCTTCTCTCTCTCTATTCTCCCCTTCCTCTTCTTCCTTCCTCCCTTCCACTCTCTCTAAAAATCAATGAAAAAAAAAAAAATAACCTAGGGTGACAAAAAAAATAAAAACATTTAAAAAGTGAAAAGGGGACCTATAGAATGACAGCAAATATTTGCAATGCATGTACCTGACAAAGGATTTATATCCAGGATATTTAAAGAAGTTCTACAAGTCAATAGTCAAACTACTCAATTAAAGAATTGCCTGAACAGGTATTTTACAAAGTAATAAGATCTCTAAATGGCCAATAAGCATGTAACAGTGTTCAACAGCAGTGCTGTGCTCCTGAGGTGGGAACAAGGGGCATCTTGACAGAGACCTTCACTGCCCTACACAGGAAGAGGCATGCTGGGAAGGACCCCGCTTGCACGGTCCCTGCACCTGATTTCAGAGCACTTCCTCAGGTTGCCTCCCATACTGACAGCCTAGATTCCGAAATGTTCCCTCCCTGAACAGTGTCCTTCATGTCCTCAGACCAGCCACCATGATGGTTCACATCAAATTCACAGCTCCACCCTGGCCTCTCAGCAACCATTTTTACTGTATTCACATCATGATCCCACCAATCTACACTTAAGAGTTTGACCTAGAATGTATTTACTGTGATCAAGTCACAACTGCCTCCCAGTGACTATATCAATAAGCATCATCACATTTTCTAAGTAAAACTATGTATTTTATTAAAAAATTAACTTGTATACTTTTTCTGAAGAATTGTATGAATGAATGTCTTCTACCAAACACCTAACCCAGCTTCCTGTGTGACAGATTTTACTATCAAAAACTTAGTTTAAAAAAACAAAACAAAAAGCTAATCTGTTGCCCGGTTGATGTGTGGCTCAGTGGTTAAGCGTCAACCCACGCACCAAGAGGTCGCCAGTTCAATTCCCAGTCAGGGCACGTGCCCAGGTTGTGGGCCAAAAATCCCCAGTGGGGGGCATGCAGGGGGCAGCGAGTTGATGTTCTCGTTCATCGATGTTTTTATCTCTCTCTCTCCCTTTCCCTTCTTCTCTCTCTAAAGTCAATAAAGAAGAAATATTTTTTTTAAAAAGCTAATCTGTTCATTTAGTCAATAAATTTTTGCTGAACATCCGATATATGCCAGGTAATCTTCCAGGTGCAAGAGATAGAACTGTGGGGGGAAATGGAAGCCCTTGCTCAACCTAAGGGAAGTTAATATGAACCTTTGATAAAAAAAAGTTATTTAATGTAAGTATTCACATCAACAAACTCAATGCCTTAAAACTGTAATGTTTTAAATTATTACTTTAAAAGATATTCACCACCAGAGGGCACTCCCACAATTTCTTTTGTGACTACTTGACAACTCCCGGCTATATGTTCCATGTTCCTTCCTGCACACACATCTGAAAGCCAAATCTGAGACCTAAACAAAAGTGGAAGTGGAATGAAAGCAATCTGGTCTCCAAATACCACAGAGCCAAATATAAATGGCAATCCTGCCTTGGCCAGTTTGGCTCAGAGGTTAGAGAGTCAGCCCTCTGACCAAAGGGTCGTGAGTTTTTGACCCCCAGCCCCGGTTGGGGTTGGCAGGAGGCAACCAATCAATGTCTCTCTCTTACATGGATGTTTCTCACTCTCTCTCCCTCCTTCCCACTCTATTTAAAAAGAATAAATGGAATAATATCCTTGGGTGAGGATTAAAAAAACAAAAAGAAATCTGCCTGTATATTAAAAGATAACCTTGCATAACCAAGCATGGAAATCAAAAGAAAATAGTCTAATACATGGCAAATTCAAAGAAAAACATTTTATTTATTTTTTCCCTTTATTGATTTTAGAGAGAGAAGACGTGAGAAGGAGAGACAGAAACATCGATGAGAGAGAACATCGACTGGCTGCCTCCTGCATGACCTCCACCACCAGGGATTGAGTCCACAACATGGACATGTGTCCTGACAGGGAATCGAACTGGCGACCTCTTGGTGCATGGGTTGATGCTCACCACTGGGCCACACAGGCTGGACAGGAAAACTTTTTAAAATTCTCCCTTATCGCCCTAGCTTGCTCAGCGGTTAGAGCATAGGCCCGTGGACCAGAGAGTCCCGGGTTTGATTCCCACTAAGTGCTGTACCTCGGGTGCAGTTTGTGCCTGGCTCCGGTCGATGTGTTTCTCTTGTGTCGATGTTTCTCTCTCTCTCTTCCCCTCTCTCCCTCCTGCTCTGTCTGAAGGTAAGTGCAAAATGTCCTCGGGTGAGGATTAAAAAAAATAAATAAAATTTCTCCCTTACCTGCCTAGTCTATGTGGACTCACTGTGTCTTTGAAGGAAACTCATACTAAATATAACTTATTGTCCATTTTCAGCTAGCAGCCATTAATTATTGTTTTTAGACTATAAAGTCTCCAACAAGAAGTTATTAGATGAGAGAACTGGGGTTGGGAGAACTGATGCTGGACAGTAACAAAACCTATGTCCTTTTAAAAATTACTCGGATAAGATATTTAGGGACTACTTAAAAGTCTTAACATTTAGGATAACAGATGGTTTTGACAGTCTTATGAAAATAGTGAATCCTGCTCTGGCCGGTTTGGCTCAGTGGCTGGAATGTCAGCCTGCAGACCAGAGTCTTAGGTTCGGTTTCCACTAAGGGCATGTACCTTGGTTGCAGTTTGTCCCCAGCCCCGGATGGGGTTGTGTGGGTGGCAGCCAGTCGATGTGTCTCTCTCACATCGATGTTTCTCTCTCTCTCTGGTCCTCCCTCCCCCTCTACTTGAAGATAAATGCAAAAATGTCCTCAGGTGAAGATTAAAAAAAAAAAGTGGATCCTCTCTAGAAGAACACACATGTGAGTATAAATACAATGTTCCTCAGCCCATTTTAGGAGGTTAACAGACCCTCTGAGGCCATCCATGGACCATCCAGAGAACCAGGGCTGACCCTAATCACTCCTGGAAGAGAAGACTGCACTTTGCTAAATATACAGTTTTAATCTTAAATTTGAAGGTTCACATATATGTGATTATTATTCCAATGTTAGCTAGGAAAAATATAATTCCAACAATAAATGCCAATAGAATTTTATAATACAGAGTCCTACATGTAAAATAAACTTACCTCAAAATTCACAGGCAAGTTCCGTTTAAGTGCAATCTCAAACACTTGACTTATTTCAGATTTATTGAGATTTTCTTCTTCTGATTCTCTTCCGTTCATCTAAAAGAACAATAGTTGTTTAATAGTTAACTCTTATTAAAACCATCAACATCCCAGCTGTGATAAACCTTAAAAATACTAAACCTTGACTTTATGGACTGAGCATCAAACCAGTGAAGAAGGCCACGTGTGCCATGTGTCAATGAATTTAAAAGGTTAAAAAAAAGTCCTCTATCAAACTTGGGTCAAATCCACCACAGACAATGTATATAATAACAGACCTTTGAGTATGAATCAGTCTAATCATGGTGCAGCGAGATGCCATGGCTGCTCTAGAAGAGTGACTTCTAAAGCCCTCCTCGAGGGTCAAGTCACATGGCAAGTTCAAATATAAGTCTCTCCACCTAAGTATGCATGTTTCTTATCTGTACATGAACCCCCTAGAAACCACTTTTTCAAAAGGATGCAGTGGAACTATTATACAACTGCCAAGCATCCCATACTTCCTGCTGCTGGCAGAAATGGAAGGTGCAAACTAAGAACGTATCCTGGCCCTGGCCAGTTTGGCTCAGCGGTTAGAGTGTTGGCCTGCGGTCCGGAGAGACCCGGGTTCGGTTCCCACTAAGGGCATGTACCTCGGTTGCAGTTTGTCCCCGGCCCTGGTTGGTCCTGCGGGTGGCAGCCACTCGATGTGTCCCTTTCACATCGACGTTTCTCTCTCTCTCTCTCCCTCCCACTCTATCTGTACAAAAAATGGAAAAATGTCCTCGGGTGAGGATTAAAAAAAAAAAAGAACGTATCCTGAACAAAGGCTGAGACTATCTTTGTAACCAGGTTCCTTTGCAGTTCTCCAATCAGGGCTGGGCCTAAAGAGGAACAGAGACCTTCTCTGTGCGGGCTGATAACACGATTCTATATTGTGCTGCAGTGATAGGAGAAATTATATCAGCTCAGTAATAGTAAAATGCCCCCAAAACATGGCAAGCAATCTGTGTTTTTCCTCATATTATTTGGTCTCTGTAATCATAAAATTGTAAAATCCTACTTCCAAGATCCGAACTATCTGACAGAAACCTTCGGCTGAAACTGCTGAATGGGCAAGGCATACAGGACTAGCCAGGATTTCCTTACGTTTTTTCAGGTAGATTCTATACCTACAATGGATCATTATTTTAAGCTGTAATGAAAAGAAATAAAACTCTAAGTTTTTAAAAAATTAATATAATCAAGAATATAATCCTGTACAAATAAATTTATCCCAGACACTACTTACAACTCCTTTTAATGTTTTCTTCCCAAGCTGGTTTCACCTCACTCTCTGCCTGGTCAAAACTATTTGTACAGCATTTCTGGTGGTTTCTTAAGCTAAACACACTTTTATTCCTGTTGGTTAAACCCTAAGAAGAAAGAAGGCCTGTCTTTTTATGAGTGAATCCTTAAAGCCACAAATCTTCAAGCAAGGTACCCTGTAAGGTATAGGTTCCACAGAGGTTTGGTTTGACATTTATTACTTAAATTGGTTTTAAACACCACCACCCCCCAAAAAACCACAAAAAACTATATTTTAAAATTAAATATGTTCAACAAATGGTGCTGGGAAAAGCAGATAGTCACACGCAAAAAAATAAAATAAAGTTGGACCCTTACCTTACACCATATACAAAAATTAACTCAAGATGATCAAAGACCTAAACATAAGGGCAAAAATTATAAAACTCTTAGAAGAAAACATCAGGGAAAAGCTTCATGACACTGGATTTGGCAATGATTTATTGGATGTAACACCAAAAGCATGGGCAACAAAAGAAAAACATAAATTGGACTTCAAAATTAAAAACTCTTGTGCATCAAAGGACACTATCAACAGAATAAAGACAACCTACAGAATGAGAAGAACTATATCTGATATGTAATATCCATAACATAAAAAGAACTACAAAACTCAACAACAAACAACCCAAGTCAAAAATAGGGAAAAGACTTCAATAGACATGTGCCTAAAGAAGATAAAATGGCCCAAAAAAGCATGTTAAATGATGCTCAACATCACTAGGGAAATGCAAATCAAAACCACAATGAGATACCACTTTATTCCCATAAGAATGGCCACAGAAAACAGCAAGTGTTGATGAGGATATGGAGAAACTGGAACCCTTGTACGTTGCTAGTAAGAATGTAAAATGGTGCAGCCTCTGTGGAAAAGTTTGGTGGTTTCTCAAAATGTTAAAGATTTATAATATGATCAAATATTATTCTAGATACATACTCAAAAGAATTTAAAGTAGGAACTCAAACAGATACTTGTACACCCATGCTCATAGCACCACTATTCACAATCACTAAAAAGTGAAAACCAAAACATCCATCAATAGATGAATGGATAAGCAAAATGTGGAATATTCATACAATGCAATATTATTCAGCCTTAAAAAGAAATGAAATTTTGAAACATGCTACAACATGGATGAACCTTGAAAATATTATGGTAAATGAAATAAGCCAAACACAAAAAACAAATACCTACTTAGATGACATATCTAGAATAGGCAAGTGAGTAGACAGAAGTAGAATAGAGGTTATCAAGGATTGGGACGAGACGGGGCAGTTACTGTTTAAAGGTTACAGAGTTTCTATGCGGGATGATGAAAAAGTTCTGCAAATGAACAGTGATAGCTGCATAACTTTGAGAATAGATTTAATGCCACAGAACAGTACACTCAAGAAATGGTTACAATGGTAACCTTTATGTTCATCTTATTGTATAGTTCATCTTACTGTTTTTTAAAGCAACAAAAAAGTATGTGTTTCACACCAAATATTAACACAGAGAAGAATGTCAACACATTAACTTGAGCTAACAGGTTAACCCACTTTTGTGCACAACAAAAATTTTTGACATCTGTTTATTTGAAGAGTATCCAGAAATTTTTTAAATAAATGAGCTTTAAAAAAAAAAAAAGGTCCACTCTCATGCTAAGTAATTGTATCAATGACAATGTTCTCCTTATGTGCAACCAGAACAAAAGTTGGAAATAAACTAGGCGATGAGGCTGATATAAGACATCAGTTATGCATGTTCTCCAATTTTCAGGTGTTTTTTTTTGTTGTTGTTGTTGTTCTTTATACCAATCCAATTAGTTTTAGCTTTTATTTTTAATTATGACCTATTTCAAACACACAGAAAAGTACAAGTAATGTAACAGGCAACTGTGCTGGATTTAACAAATGTCAACATTACTTACTATTGACATTACATTTTTTTCTTTCTTAAGGAACACAATGAAGCCCTTCTCATTCTCCTTTCCATGGCAGAGTTAACCACTATTCTAAAATGAGATGGTCTTTCCCAGCCATGTGTGTGTGTGTTTTTTTTTAATGGAAGAAAGCTACAGTATAATTCTATGGTGTGAAAATTCACATAAATTACTTTAACTCATTGCTTTATTATAAAAATCAAACTTTTAAGTTCACATTAATGAACGTTACTTTTCTACTTTATATATTGAGGTTCCACATAAGTCTGATAGAAAACAATAGTCTACTGCTAAATCTAAACTCCAAGCTAGTGGCTCTCAACCACAGCAGCATTAGAATCACTTGGGAGCTTTACAAAGACAGCTGTTGGAGCCCTGCTCGACAAGTGAACTCAAAGTTTTGCAGGTAGGGATTGAATACCCATTTTATTTACAGTACTTGTTTATTTTATTTTTTTAAGTCCCCAGGGGATTTTACTAGCAACCAAAGTTGAGATTCACTGCTCTAAGCCATTGCTTCCAAAGAAATTTCAATAGGGACAAAGCAGCCAGTAAAATAAAAATGCAAAAGAGAAAACAAAGATATACATTTATTTGGAACTGAGATTATGTTGCTCTTTTACATAAATAATTTTGTATTATCTGAATTGGACAAAATGTTGCAATGGGGGAAGCAGCAAATGACTCAAAACAAATCCACAAATACCATTCCCAGTAAGATGGGGAAAGTGTAGTAGGCCCTTAGTCTTACCTTCATGAAGTGGGAATTACTGTTAACATCAATCCCATAGTGTATGGTTCAGCAATAAAATCTAGGCAACATTAAGAAAAGAAAAAAACACTCTGAACCATGCTTAACCCTCAATATGCCAGGAAAAAATAGTCATCACCATTTACCATCTGGCTCCAACAGACCCTTTTTATTTTTCTATATTTCAAGTCATTTTACAAATAATATACAGAATAAAGGATAAAAAAATCATTTCAATAAGAATTTAAAATAGCAAACCCAAGTTTTTATCCCAGGTTTGTAGTCTGGAAGGCATATGTACCTGAAATGGGCAAGGTCCTTTTATGCAACTAACTGTTCATCAGTTGGCACACCTGAACCTAGAGCACAGTCCACTTGTAATGATGCCCAATTTTAAATCTATCTCCAATAGGTTCTAGCTTATCCTGACTCTGATTCTTCTTGTACTGGTATTGTCAAAACACACTTTTGAAACCAACTCATATTTTGTTGATGGGAAAAGAGCCACCTTCTTTGTTCCATAACTAAAAAATGTTTTCATTTTTAGATTTATAAACCCCAAAGAAGGATCTAATGATTTTTTTCATGTTTCCTTCCAGTCATGTTTGCACATACACCTCCTTTTACATCTGTCCACTTACTTCGCGGATAATAGTGTTAAGAAAGTCTGGTGGCAAAATGTCATAAAGGATGAAAGAATGTTGTCACACAAACTTTAAAAAAACAAACATCCTGGCCGGTGTGGCTCAGTGGTTAAGTGTTGACCATGCACCAAGAATCTGCCAGTTTGATTCCCGGTCAGGGCACATGACTGGGTTATGGGCCTGGTCCCTGGTGGGGGGCATGGAGGAGGCAGCCAATCGATGTTCTCTCTCATCGATGTTTCTATCTCTCTCTCCCTCTCCCTTCCTCTCTCTCTAAAATCAATAAAGAAATAAAAAACAGAAAAACAAACAAACAAACAAAAAAACTGGGATGGTCCAGGATCATGTCATAAAATTACGGTGACGAAGTTCTTCCTGTTAAATGACTGACCAGAAGAGAATATACATTTC